CAGACGTCCAGAGCTTTCTCATATTAGTTACTATATAAAAGTTCAAGTTGCAATACCTCATTTATTTTTGTTCAAACTAGTGTAAAGACAATTTGAAAAATGATGCAACAATTACCGTTATGAAGTTAATGAAGTATGAGTTGAATTCCGAAATGCCACCGCGCATCTCGTATGGAATCTGCGGCAGCAAGTCCTCTAAGGCTTTTTTGAGATATGTGACCTAAAAATAAGACTTGAAATTTTCACAAAAAAACTGAAATCAAACCGTTCACCTTCATCGCAGTGTCGTGGTCCATGAGAGGAATATTGAAGCAGTTGATGTATACAACATCGCGATTAAGTTGTTGTAGCGCCTTAAGAGAAATAATCACAAAATAAAAATTCTGCTGCTCTGACTTTTAATTTGGATCATCTGATACATTCATGAATTTCAAGAATAAGTCCACTCAATAAAATGCTCTAAATGTCCTAAACAAAACGAAGCGGGGACGAATTTGTTTTTGCTATAATGAACTGCCTACCTGATTACGTACAAGTTGCTGTTGCAACTGATGATAAGCAGACATCGGATTCATGCCAAGATTTCCAATATTTGCACCGACGCCTGCTGCGCCAAGAGGTCCTGCCCGTCCGTAGGCGCTCATGTTCTAGAAGTGAGCAATTAAAATGATGCTGACACATGCAATGAACTGACTTTATTAGGATATCAAAGAGTGGAAGAGTTTTTACAGCCATTAGGCGCTTCCCCCGTGAACAACCCATAACGTAAAACGGCAATCTTGTGTAGAAGATATCGTGCTTGTTTGTCTGTTTGGAGGTACCTCATTCTGATGAGATTACTCCGCTGCCACTGACGTTACAACCTACATTTGAAATGACTCTGCGGGCGGGCGCCGGCGATAGGTAATTCTCTACACATTATCCGATGATCAAAGGCTAGGCAGAATAAACTCAATGCTGCAACTTTATTTATGTATTTTGGAAGGTTAAAACGGAGGCCACTTTGATTTGCCGAGCTCTCCATAAGCGTGGATCAAAACTTATTTGCAAGCAAACGTCCTCAAGCCTACCTTATCACGCTCGTAATCGTCCCACGCCTCTTTGAGTTCCTCTTCCGAAAGCTTTTCTTCTTCAACATGAGCAAACAGCGTATCATGTTGAAAATAATCAACTACGGCATCCTTGTTTGTTAACAGAATCTCTGCAAGAAGGCGATCCTGGAATGTGCGTTTATGAGCTCGCAAACTTGTCGCATAGCAATGCACTATTTACCTTTGGAGGAGCAAAAGTTGGTCTAGCTTGTGTATCATTAGCGTCCAACTCGTTGGGATTGAACCTAT